AGTATATTTCCTCTGAGATATCACAACGCCAGCTTTAGATTGAGCCACCTCGATTCCCAAGAAGTATCAAAGTTTTCCAAGATCCTTAGTCTGAAAATGATGACATAAATGTTGTTTCAATTGAGTGATCCCATGCCGATCACTACCTGTGATGACAATATCATCCATATATACCACCAGGTAAATAGATCCAGAAGCGGAATGACGATAAAAGAGAGAATGATCAGCTTCACTCCGAGTCATGCCAAATTGTTGAACAACACTGCTAAATTTATCAAACCAAGCTCTTGGAGATTGTTTAAGGCCATAGAGAGACTTACGAAGACGACAAACAAGACCTGACTCCCCCTGAGCAACAAATCCAGGAGGTTGCTCCATATAAATGTTCTCCTCAAGATCACCATGGAGAAAAGCATTCTTGATATCAAGTTGGTAGAGAGGCCAATGGCGAATAGCAGCCATGGCAATAAAGAGGCGAACAATAGACGTTTTCGCCACCGGAGAAAAAGTATCAATAAAATCCAAGCCAAACACTTGAGTGAAACCCTTTGCCACCAAGCGAGCTTTAAGACGATCCACTTGACCATCAGGTCCAACCTTAACAACATAAATCCATCTGCAACCAACCATAGATTTTCCAGAAGGAAGATGAACCAGATCTCATGTGCCATTATGATGAAGAGAACTCATTTCTTCAAGCATATCTTGTCTCTATCCCGAATGTGAAAGTGCATCACCTGTAGTCTTAGGAACAGATACAGAGGACAAAGAGGAAAGGCATGCGAAATATGATGGAGAAAGACGATGGTAACTAATATTGACTATATACCTGGCCGGAGGGCGAGTATCACGAGTACCCTTACGAAGAGCAATGGGGAGGTCACTATCCGAAGGTGGGATCGAAGCCGAGGGAGGAGATGCAGTTGAATGTGAGTCCACAGATACATCTGACGAACTATGTTCGATCTCATCAGGAGAGGAGGCGATAGAAGGAGAGTCAAAAACATGGACTGGTAAAGACGGAAGGTATTCAAAAGAGTCAACTGAAAAAGATGACTGTACATAATCAGTGTCCACAGGAGTAGTAGATGATCCAAAAAAAGGAACTGATTCAAAAAAGGAAACATCTGCTGAGATAAAGTATCGACGTAAAATTGGAGAGTAGCAACGGTAACCCTTTTGAGACCGAGGATAACCCAGAAAGACGCATTCATGAGACTTGGGAGCTAATTTATCCAAACCTGGACCAAGATGATGAACAAAACACGTAGAACCAAACACATGTGGAGTCAAAGAATATAAAACTTGATGGAGAAATAAAATAGAGTGAGGTACCTTATGATTGAGAACAGATGATGGCATGCGATTAATGAGATAGCATGCAATAAGTATAGCATCACCCCAGAATGTGTATGGAACATTGCCATCAATTAACAAAGCACGAATGGTTTCAACCAGATGGCGATTCTTGCGCTCGGCTACACCATTTTGTTGGGGTGTATGAGGGAAAGATGTTTGATGAAGAATGCCATGAGATGAAAAGAATTGTTGAAATTGATGAGATAAGTACTCACATGCATTATCACTATGAAAAGTACGAATAAGAATACTAAATTGAGTTTTTATTTCATTATAGAATAAATGAAAAATAGAAAATAACTCAGACCGATTTTTCATTAACAATAACCAAGTACATCTGGAATAATCATCAATAAAAGTAACAAAATACTTAAATCCTAAAGTAGAAGAATGACGACTTGGTCCCCAAATATCAGAGTGGACCACAGAAAAAGGAGAAACAACTTGACGACTAAGACGACTCGGGAACGTACTACGAGTATGTTTCCTAAACTGACAAGACTCACAATTTAAATTGGAAAGAGACGATAAATGTGGAACCATCTTCTGAAGCTTTGCAAGACTAGGATGGCTCAGACGAGCATGTATAGTAAGAGGAGAATCCACAGTGGAGCAGGATGAAGAAGAGGGAAATAGTTGATAGAGGCCCTGAAACTCACATCCTTTGGTAATCTCCTTCCTCGAACTCCGATCCTAAAAGATGACAGAGGTTTTAGTAAAAGAAACAACACAGTCAATGGATGTGGTCAAACGAATAACAGAAAGTAAGTTAAAAGGAGAATCTGGAACATAGAGAACATGATCCAGAGATAAATTAGGTAAAAGAAGAACCGTGTCAATCCCCCGTGATTGGATCAAAGACCCATTGGCCATAATAATAGTGGAAAAAGAACCAGTAGTACAAAGGGAAGTGAATAAGGACTTATTACCAGAAATGTGATCAGAAGCCCCAGAATCAAGAGTCCAAGGGCCTATAGAGTGAAACTGAGAGATTCCAGCAAAAGAATTACTAGTGGGAGCAATGGATGCAATAAGACCTGATGTTTGCTTCTTAGACCACCAGGTCACAAATTCGTTAAGAAGAGCAGCTGGAGGTTGTGCACCGGAAGGTAACCCTGGAGCAGAGGTACTAGAGAAAGCCTGAGCAACATGAGCATTCCGAGGAGGTGGAGGTGGCCTTCCATGAAGCTTCCAACAACGGTCAATAGTATGATTGGTCTGATGACAATGAGTGCATAATAGCTTTCCTTTAGAGAATTTACGTCCACGACCATACCCTTGAGCAGCAAGAGCAGAAGAGTCAACAGAATCCACTGGAGATATATGCATCATAGGAGGTGTTGGGGACGTAGAAGGCTTAGAGGGAATCCTAAGCAAGGTAGACATCACAGAATCTAGTGTAGGAACTGTAGCAGATCCCAAAATTTGATCCCGATTGGCAGACAAATGGTCAGGCAAACCATATAAAATGAACAACATAAACAGTGTATTACGTTGTTCCTGTTCCTTACGTAACATCACCAGTGAGAGGCAGAAGTTCGTTAAGGTCATGAAGTAAACTTTGAGCTTTCCCCAAATATTTAGTCATAGGACAATTGAAGTCCCGAGGAGCAAAGGTAGTCATCAATTTCTGACACACACCATAGAGTCTTTGTGTATCATTGGTGTACAGTGCTTTTTCCTGACTCCAAATAGCTTCACATGTATTAGTAGGTCAAAAAATCTGCTTGATTGACGGATGAAGAGTAGCTTTAATGAGACTACATAACTGAGCATCAATCATCTTCCATCGTTTGCACTCAGTGACCGCCACAGATTCAGCCTTAGTTGTGAGATGGGATGTATAATCTTGTCCTTCCAACCAAAGGCGCAGATCGGATGACCAAGTATCATAGTTGGATCCATCCAATTTATCCATACTTAACGGATCAAGGATATAATTTGAAAAAATAGTAGACTCCGACTTTTGTCCAATCGGAGACCCAGAAACATTGGAGACAAGAGAGTCCATAATCAAGAGTAGAAAAAATAATCAAAAATACAGATCACACAACTAACTGGTAGAAGAGGGATCTGTGCGTCAACACAAAACGAAGTCAAAACGCAAAAACAAGACCAGATCCAGAACCGCCACAGGGACACGATGAGAACGCAATCAGCCGCGGCCGGAAAAGAGGCTCCACGCGCCGCCTTGTGGACTAGAGTACCGGAACTTGCACGCGCGCGTGAGGGCACGTGAGAAGTCCGTTGGAGGAGCGACCGGTGGCGTCGTGATCGCGCTTCCAAGACGAGCACGCCGGTATGCGGTTCGCCAGAAAACTCTACCGGACGGTGGTGGTTGACGTAGACAGAAGCCTGAAAGTGGAAGCGGAGGAAAAACGTACCGGAAACTGACAGCGAGACAGGTCCGGAAAAAAAATAATTAAAAGACGATGAACAGTGGGTTCACCGGAAAAAAAAAATTCAAAGTTCCTTAGGCTTTTGATACCATGTTAAATAACAAGAAAAGAGAGGAACATTGAAATCAACTGTGTGTATTGATACGAATAGGAATGTACAATATATAGACATACTAATGGGCTAAGCCCAAACCTAATACAATCAGACCTAATACAAAACCCTAATGAAATAAAAAAAATACTAATTACAATATATTTCTAACAAATTCTTTGCTCAATTATGAGGACTTATTTAAAAACTTGAATAAATTATAAGAATTTATTTGACAAAAGGCTAATACTTTATCTGAATGTTTAAATAAGTCCCCATAGTTAAAAAAAAATTAACAGTCATCGGTAATTATGGACTTATTTTAAAAAATAATTACAAAAGTAAACAAAAATAAAAATAAAACACTCTATTGACGGTAAAGTTATAACTTGTAAGAATTGGTTAACTGATTTAATCAATAAAATATAAACCTTTTCCTTAATAATTTGTGCCCCATTTTTTTAGATTCTAAAAGGACATGCTAATAATTTAAATATTAGTCAATTATAAAATTCGAAAAGGAGAAGTGAATAATATTCGAGTCTTATTGTTCTTTGTTTTAAGTCGTGTCTTACTTGACAGAATTAATAGATTAATCGAGGAACAAACAAAGAATTTTTTGTAAAATAAAAAAATCGAGATGTTACATAAAAGAAAGAAAAGACAAAAGCCAAAAATAATTAGCTGTTTTGAGAGTTGACACTCTCTTACCAGCCATATCAATGGGTCCACCACGGCACCCACCACTCAAACCAACCACAGAATAAACCACAATGATCCAAACACCGAATGAGTAGCTTTCCTTTCACAAGAATCAATATCTTTATAAAGAAATGGTGTGATTATGATAACAACAACAAACTAACAAAGTTTACCAAAACAACAAACCTTGTTATTATCAGAGTCACATGACACATACAAACAAATTATTAACTCAAAAAGAATGAATCCTTATTCTGAAGTTAACTACTATCATCAGAATTGGCAGACATAAACAAGAAACCTATAATTCATTGATGCCATCATGATTAATGATTTTGATTTCCATAGTTGTGAGCAAGGTCACCGACTCTAGCATGCAGTTAACAAAGACAAGTACACCTAAAGCAAGGGAAAAAAAGAAGCGTATAGTGTACATACCATAAGAGCAATGAAGCTGTAAAATGGATTAAAAGATCTAATGAATTGTCTGACCAAAAAAAAAAAAAAAAAAGATCAAAATTTACAATGTCAACAAAAACTGGCATCTCAATTCCCAACCCTTATGAACACTTGGGAGTGTTAACCAAGATATGTAAAAGAATCCTAATTGCCTCAGAAAACTGTTACAAGTGCTACCAAGGTTTAAGGTCACCCACAGGACCAGCAGTCCAATTCAAAACCTTCTCCCCTGGTTTCAAGAATATAGTCCTGTCATGTGGCAATTTACGTGCAAGCCCATTTAAAACTTGATGGAAAGCATCTCCTGGTTGTGCAGGTTGTGGGAATAGCATAGCTTGCTTCATGGAAGGGTTGGCAAGCAATCTTTGTTTCCTTAAGATAACTTCTGGTGGAATAGATGTGAGTATTGTATCTAGCTGAGGGACATCCTTCTCATCAACAAACACACCTATCTCTTCCCATGGTATTGCATCAGCAAATGGTAGAACAATATCATCTGCAATGATGACTGGGATGCAACCAAATATCACAGCTTCAACCAATCTTGGGCTCCAAGGAGCCCACCCAAGTGGACACAAACAAAACACGGCTCGTTGCATGTCTTCATAGTATGTGGTTGGATGCTCTGTGGAAATGTCAAACAGTGGATTGTCCTTAAAATTCTCCCACACTGCTGCTCTTGCTCCTCTGTAAGATAGCAAAAGCACAGTCAGTTTGAGCATTTAGGATTTACTGTTCTTTGTTTTGTTACGTAAGCGTCAAGCAATGGAACCAAACTTCATGCATACTTTTATTACTTGATTTTCAGTCAAAATATTAGAAATAAAAGAACCAACTAGGTCATGAATGCGGTTAATCTAATTATGCATGACCAGTTTCAATAACTACTAAATACCATAATTATAAGTCAGTGTGTTCCTTGCATTTTCAAGAAAAAGATGCAAGTTAGTGATCTTATGCAGATATGCTGTCCAAATCCTATCCTCTAAATTTGTGAGTTGTAATAAGACTTGCCTTGCGTAGTAACCACCTTCAGGGTCATTTCCAACATCATAAAACAGTCCTCGGAAGTAAACAAAAATGGACCTGGGAGTCTTTTCAGGAATTAGGTGCGCATGCATTTTCTGTGGAGGAGCATATGGAGGAATGGTGATTGAGCTCTCTTTCAAACACACATGATTCCTCTGTCCAAATGTTTGAACCAAGGTAGCACGCTGTAACAATGGAAGAATTCCCCTTTCAATCGCCTTCTCTTCCTGGAACAAAATAATATGATAAAAGTGAGTGAATGTTACAATATCCATGAACAGCTAATAGTGGAATCCGATGTACTTCTCACAAGAAACCACATAGTCAGTTCAAATGCTTAAGTAGAACTAACAGTGATATAAATAAAAAAATTAAAATGATACACCAAATTTCTTACTTGATAATGGAAGCATGCCCCAAAGTCATGAGGGGTCACAAAGAAATGATCTGCTCCTTCTGTCCTGTTCCAATAAGGCCAGTTTGAAGAAATAAGCTGTATGGCACTTCTCATCATTCGCGGTGACTTGAAAGGTAAAGGGAGGCCATTTGGTGTCAAGTCACAGGTGGTGTATACAGGGGTATAAAACCAATCAGCTTCTTCAGGATTAAGCGTTCGGACAGGACTAGATAAGAGAAACCGGTGCATAAAGATCTCGGCAGCAAACATATGAGTGAGGCATCTTGGGTCCTTTTGCAGAATTTTCTTATTATATTTGCTTGGAAGTTCATAAACAAAAACCTTCAACCTTCCCACCGGATCATCTTCCAACACATCACCAGCACTACCTACAATTGGTTCAACCACAACATGCTTAGTAGTCTCATTTTTATCTAAATATAATATATATTGATTTTGAAATAAATATAATTACACAGAGAATTCAGAGACTTGTATTTGACTCCAATTATTGCCTGAATCAGAATTGCTTAATGCAAGTCAGTGAAATATTAACCCCTTAAATTCCAAGCATCAGGCATGTGAGTATGTGACTTTGTTTCTGCATGTTTATCATCAGAGTTTTATGTAAAACTCCTCTTATACCAGACCCCCCATTCCAACAGCTTCATCAGTGAATTGTAATCCAACGGATGCAACTTTCTCATAATTTGTATACCACGTGGTGAGGTGATTTTAGTGTCTTCATAACATTTAATTATATACACAGTTTGGGAGCAGCATCCATATTTAGAGAGATTAAATGCATATAGAACAAACACACACACACGCACTTCTCGCTAGCTGGCTGCAAGAAAAGGAGCAAGGTATTATTAACCATTAAAGAGAAAGGTATTCTGCAGGGTTTCAGTTTTTGATTTAATTTACATTAAGTGTCTGTTCATAACCAAAAGATTTGAATATTTTTGTTATTATAGCAGAAAAGACAGGGAAACTTAGAAATGCTGATGTTTTAACTCCAGTATCAAAATTGAAACTCACAAGTTTATGCAAAAACCCTTAAGAGGATTCAGGAAGCTCCCAGAATCCAAAATGACAATAACCTTTTGATATATCTGATTAATCAAAAACATTTTACTCTATTCCCCTCTACCTTTAATGATAAATAATACTCGATAAATGGAAAATCTTCAATAACAATTTAAGATGACAGTGGCTCACTCCTCTCCTTTTCCATATCAATCAATAGAGAACACACCAAAGGCCATAGGCATAACAACATGTTAGAGAATAATATAACCATTAAAATGACTCTCACCCAATAGCTTAAGCTTTTGGGTTGAATTGATTCTTTACATTGGTATCAGAGCCTCGTGTCTCGGGTTCGATCCTTACCGTCCCCCACTTTCTTTCTAGTGGAATTTTTTTCTTAGTACAGGTAGGTGGGTCTGTACATTGTCCACACTTCAAGCCCAATGGGCTCTTTTGTGAAGGGGCATGTTAGAGAATAATATAAACCATTAAAATGACCCTCACCCAATAGCTTAAGCTTTTGGGTTGAATTGGTTCTTTACGCAACATATTTATCTTCTTGAGTGAGTTTGAGTATTGTGAGAGTGGGGACCTACCAATATGTCTCCAATACTGTAAAAACATTATCATATATTCATTGGAAATCTATCTTTTGCAAGCATTATCTTTAATGTGTCCGCTACCTACACATCTATGCTTCTTCTGAACCCTTAAGTTAATAGCTGGCATTGGTCAATAGGAAGTTCATTAAGAATGAAGAGGCCAGAAACAAAACTCAATATCAAATGAAGCAGTATTTCCTCCTCGTCATTCTCATACTATATTTAACAAAGTATTTCATTTCCTTCAAGACTACTAAAGGTGTGAACCAGGCTAGGCCATCACAAAGAAAAAGTCACAAAGGTCATCAAGATCTCCTGTCAATCCATCTAACCTGACCAAAGTGGAAGTTGACTATAACATAACCCCATGTTGATACATAGCCCCTTCCAATGTATTTCTTCTTCAAATACTAGGACCAATTAGTAAACTGCTCACAATCGACCCTCACCCTTATTACCACTAGTCAGGGAGCTTTGTACACCAGGGTTTGTTAAGAATAAGTTACTCCACGAAATGCTCAAGAATCAATGTTCTAAAAAATGACATCTCAAACAAAAACAAGTCAACAACTAATGTGACAAATATTTTCCAAATAAACCTCAAACCAAAGCAGATCTTTATTAAATCCACATTCATAAGAATCATAACAGTATAACACACAAAAACAGCCATAAACCAATTGGTCAAACCAATGTGACATATAACCGGAAAGAAATTAATCACAATCAAAATCTGAGACCTGAAATCAACAGAAGTTGGGACATGGCAAACTCAGAAAGAATCTGAACAAACAAATAGAGAAGAAGAACAAAAGAAAAATCAAACTTTGAGGAAAACCCACCTGAAATTCTCTCAGTAGGTTGACCTCGACCATGCTCCACAGCACCAATTGTAAGAACAAGAGAAGCACAAAGAAGACCAACAAAACCCCACTTCCCAAAATTCATTTTTTTTTTTTTTTTGCTTACCCAGAAAGCTCTTTGATCCGAGGAACCTCACCAATATTGCTGCAACTGCAAACAAAAAGACCTGAGATTATAAGGAAAAGGAAGTCAATTGTAGTCAACAGAAGAAGGTAATGATGAAGGTTAAGATGTCACAAGGTAAAGTAGCTGTGAGAGATTTCTTAGCATTGGGGCTTCAGAGGCTTGTCATCTGGAAGAAAGGGATATGGGTTCTTCCCAGCAACAACGAGAGAGACAGAAATGAACATTTGATTTGCTTTGAAGAAATAGGGACAAAGGGGTATTTTTTTTTCTTTTCACCAAACTCTTAAAAATAAAAAAATAAAAACAATGGAAAATGGTTTATTAGTGAAGAATGGAGAAGAAGGAAGAGGAGGTAGTGGCTGGTTTTGCAAAATTTTCTGGTTTAGTTTGGCTTTCTTTACGTGTGGTTTGATGAGAGGTCCATCTCAGAGAACCATATAAGCACCAAAACCCAACTACGTCACGCTGTTAAGTTCAACCATTGTCGCTTTTCATATTTACCTTGTGTCACTGTGTGTTTGAACCTTTGGCATCTAAGCGGCATTAATGTTCTTACAAGTTACGTTGAAATTTACTACCTCCACCAAATTACCAGGCTGAAAGCAACGTAATCAGAAGTTTGAATAATGCTGTAACTCAAAAAAAAAAATTAAAAGAAAAAAATAAGACAGAAGAAAAATAATTTCTATTTTTTGTAGAATTATATTTTTTTCATGGAAAAAAAAGGTTTCTCTTATCACAAAAATAATTAAGACACAAGATAAAAGTTATTTCATGCAGCATCAAAAAAACATCATTTTGGGGTCTTGATTAAAAAGAAGGAAAAAATGTTTCTCATGCAGATAAGTTATCTGCATTTATTTTTAAAATGATATCGTTTTGGTATTAAATATTAAAAAATTATAAATATAAAGACTATATAACCTTGAAATAAATTAAAATTACAAAAACACCATGATTTCTGTTCCAAAACAACGTCGTATTGGGCTTACTACCGATAACTTATCTGCAATAACTACAGAAAAAACGAACCCTAAAAATAAAGGAGACTTTAAAAATGTTACATTCCTCTTTGAATCATTAATTTTATTAAAATATCCTTTATTTTAGTTTATAAATTTAAAATGACGTCATTTTAAGCGATAAAAAATAATTTTATATCCTAGATAGGAAAAGTGTTAATCTCTTCTTTTATTGTTATCTTTTTTTCTTCACTAGAAGAGGTAGTTGTGTACCTAAGAGTTGTTTTTGATCTAGTGGCGCTCCAATTAAATTTTAGGATTGGCTCATTCAAAAGGTAATAGGTTTGATTTCTGAATGTAGTAATTTTTAGAGAAGATGGAGAGATTCAAATCTGAAATCAGATTAGCGCATATTGATATTTAAAAAAAAAATTAGTTACTGAGGATTTAAAACAATAATATTTTATTTACCAAAAAAAATTATTTTCCGCAATAATTATGGGTTAATGACCACTCTCAAAATGAGTTTGCAACATTTTAAGAAGATTAATTAAAAAATTTAGATTATTTCATAACTAACGTTAATTTAACTTTAATTTGGTTAAAATTTATTTTAAAGAAGTTCTTATTTAATTTATTTTAAAATTTATTTCTTTGAAAAAACTTAATGAGTTCATTAATTATTAGGTTAATAAATGTTTTCTATAATTATATCTTATATAATAATCATTCTCAAATTTAGTTGAAGAAGAGATAACTGAAAAAAAGCTGGACAAAAAAAATACAACTTTGAAATAATTATTTTAAAAATGAATTTTATCTCAAAATTGGTTTTAGTAAAATCAGATTTTAAATAATTTAAATAATTAATAAACACCTTATTTTAAAGTCTAATTACTTTATACTTGGACATATATATAATTTTTTAAAGTTCTCAACAGTCCCTGAGAGCTATACTATTTATCAAAAATAGGATAATATAAGCCGCCATATGTTGGTCGTGCAAAAATCATGTTATCATTGCCGTATTTTAAAATATTTTATAATCATATTAGTGTTTTGAAAAATTAAAATATAACTATAATTATTTTCATAGAAGATTAAAGTGATGACACAATAGAACGAATTTCGTAATTATTTTAAATCTTTGAAGCACTAAGGTAGTTATAAATTTGTTAACAAAAATAATTTAAAGCTAAGATTAATTTTAAAACACAATTAATTTGCTATAACCTTTTTTTTTTGGAAACTTAATTTGCTATAACCTTAAAAGCAAATGAAAAACGCAAAATTTATCTTACAGAATATACTCTTCTCAAAAAAGCAGAAAGTTGTTAAAAAAATTAAGAAACTAATACTGGAAATCAAAATTTAGAAAATTAATAAAAAGGCAAGGCGAACTGGTGGCAGAGCTGGAAAAATATTCAACTGGTGTCAAAAGATCCAATCAGATAGAATTCAACCAATAAGATCATACCATAACTTTTTAAACAAAAATTATATCATTTTAAAATATTAGCAGGTGCTAAGATACTAGCTAACTTATTTCCAAAAAAAAAAAAGATATTAGCTAACTCTCAAGTGGCTGTGCCAGGCGAAATTATTCAACTTTCGAAGAAAGTGATCTATTTCGGCAATAACAAGCCCTTCTCTTGCATTTTATTGTACGAAAAATAATAAATTTTAGAAGCAAGAAAATTAGCTTTATAAAATAGTATTAATAAACTCTTCAAACAGCAAATGCTCAATATGCGAAATACTTTATGATACATTCCCACGGGATGTATTAATCTACATAAATTGTACGTTATTGGGATTCTGCGACCCTTGTTCCACATCATGAAACCACTGCATATATAATTTTATCTAAAAGGAAAAAAAATCTAGAACATACATTTATTTTGGACACTTTGAGGATTGACATGCTCTACAAATGAACAGTTCATTTTTTTGGAGTATCAGACCGTTGACCATTTTTATTTCCATATGAAAAAGCAACATCAGTTTGAGGAAAATCACTTAATTGGTCCCATTCTAAATATTCTAGTCGGGTTTTTTTACTATAAGAAGTGAACTAATTAGAGAACTGAGGTATGAATCCGATTCTTTAGGGGTGAAGTACGTTGATTTGACGGAGACAAAAGATGCAGGGATATAGATCAAAATTCTTAGTGTTTGGTTGAAGGTTTATTTTGGGATTGATGGGGAAGTGTAAGTGGATATTGGAAAATATCATGTTTGATTCAGATTTTTTCAAAAAATACTAGGCAAATAGGATAGATGGGAAAATGACTTTTGTGTTGATTTTTGAATGAAATTCACTGTTACAGAATACCGCTTGAGATGTGGTATTTTGAGATAACTGGGGAAGTGAAAAAACAGGTGCAAAGTTTCTCCCGAACATAGATTTTGCATATTTAAATAAATTTTCCAGGTAATATTTTGGTCAACCAAACAACTTTTTTTACATTTTCCTACCAAACTCATTTTCCAACCATTTCCCTATCAATTACATTTCTCTAGTAAAAAAAATTTTCTCCCGAACCAAACACTACCTAAGAGTTATCATATTGGTCTCAAGCTAGCTGAGGGTGAATGGGTAGGTGATTTTGGGCTTAGTTATGTTGGGAAGTGATTTCAACATAGTAACAACTATGGTGAGCAATGTAGACTGAGGAGACAAAGGCTCCTTTATATAGTGTGTTGAAGATTCCCTCCAAGCGTACAAAGTGTGATGCCCTAATCATTTTCAGCCATGTGGGCAGGTATGACGTTGCATGACTCCTAACGTGTAAAAGGTCGTGCATGCATGGAAAAAGAAAATATATGTACAAGGGAGACATGCACTCCACGTGCTAAGTGATAGTGGACTTACCGGACGGATATAGGAACTGGCCAGGCAAGGTTATCCCGTCGGTTCAGAACAAGAAGTAAGTGGATGACAATATTATTGATCTTTGTGGAAAGCACAAAAACAAGGGTGTCAAAGATAAGACAAAGAAGATTTTTGCCTACATAAGCATGAAGTCACTGAAAATTTATTTTGATAACATTAAGTTATTTACCTGTGATGGTTAAAGGCCTTAGAACCTAATTTTTTGTTTTCTTTACCAAAAATTCACTAGATAAGAATTAGTTTTTCAAAGAGCTTTTGTGAAATTCATGAGGTCCCTCTTACACTCTATAATTATAAGGTCTTTTAAAAGTTAGTTATTTGGCAACTTCTCTACAAATTATTTTTGGTGTCTTGTATGTCTTACAAAAACGTTGAGGTAGAAAATATGCAAATGTTACTAAACCAAACCGCCCCCTCACCTCAATGCCTCTAGGGGTGGCGATTCTTGACCTGACTCGCTGACATGACACAAAAATTCATGTTCGGATTTACCCATATTTAAATTCATGTTGTATTCGTGTTGGCAAAATATGACACGCAAAAATTCGTGTTGTGTAGCGTATCAACACTCAAACACGAATTTGACCCATATTTTTTTGTTCAATTGCTACCAACATACTCACCATCGGCTACAACTTATAAGGTAATGCTAGTTATGTAATTTTGATGATTTAAAGGATCTCTCTTTGGCACATGTGCACACTCGTAAGAAACAATCATCAATTGTATTATCGTAACTTAGGTTTCTACTTTCTCATCATTCTTTAGGTCATGGAACTCCAATACTCCAACTGACACCATTTGGGCATCTGTGGGTCATTTATTATCATAATAGTGACTCTGTGAAGGTGCATAAAATCCCTAACGTGCCTTATTTTCTCTCTCTTTAAGGGTGAAATCCATAACTTTAGTGTTTACTACGTAGTTTCAAAAGAAAGATACAAGTTTTAAGCATAAAGGTGGTTTTTCTCCATATTTTCTTGGGATTTAGACTTTGCCCACGACTCCTTCCTCTCCTCCTCCTAGGACGATACCATCAAGCTCTTGACTTTGGCCCCACTAGCGTACAAAGTCAATCTTTGTCCATGAGCAAGTATTGCTTTAACCTTTGTTTATTGATTTCAATGTGCAATTTATTCCCTTTCTCCTCATGACCTTTGTGAGACATAGTTGTGTGTATTTCTTTGTTGTTGAGAGATTCGAGTTTCCTTGTATTAAATCCACTCAAGTCCAAAATTTTATTTATTTATTTTTTCTTTTATGTTGTTACAAGTTTGGAATGTATTCAAGCTTGTTTTCATGATACAGGATAACGTTTCCTAGAATTTCATTTTTTATGTTGATTATTTAAAAGAATAAATCAGGGCACGTGAGAATTCAGTTGAATATTTAATAAATGCATTTTTGACTACAAACATTGCTTAGGATCAACAAGGCGTTGCTTGCTATGATTTCTCTGTTTTGGGTTGGACTTTGAGTCCACGAAGTGTTTTTGTTTGGTCTCTATTTTTACTTGTTTTATCAATAATGTTTTTTTT